CAGGGTGACAAAGTAGTATTGGGGAATGAGAATGCCACTTCTCGCATCAACTATTGGCAACTACAAAGTCCGGACTTTCTCTGACAAATCATGCAGATGAAGCTAGACTTGGTTTCGAGACACAGACCGTTGCGACTGTCCTTTGGCAACGAGCGCCGTGTTGCCAAAACACGTTTGTCAACGTCTTGAACGCGTCCAAAGACAGCGGCTTGTTTGTGAACGGGAGCCTGGAACCTGGAAGGAAACGGCTGGCCAGTTTACCACGAGTGCCCGCGAATAGCAGGGATCAAAGAGCAGCCGCCCATTTCAGATGGGCCAAGGTTCTCAAGTCGTACGACTCGAAGTGGGCTTCGAGTGAAGCCTTTCGGTTTCTGTACGCAGAGGGTAGCGACTCAAAACTCCCGCCCCAAACAAATGGCGGCCGAGGCGAATCGAGTGGTTTGGTTTCAACAAGCTGCGGCCAGTAGCCAGACACGGATTCGGTTTCTAGGGCCCGGTGCGGGTTCGTTCTCCAATGGTTCCCAGCCATCAGTTGACATTTTTTCTTTTAAATGAGGGTTTTGTGGTTGGGGGTTTCATTTGACCCACCCAAAGGATCCCAAATCTTTTCGGGGCGTCGTTTGGCATTGGGCCCTCAGGGACAGAATGGCGAGGGGCCATAGAAACACGACCCCTCGTAGCGAGGGCCCCGGCTGCTCGGCGTGCAAACACTATCAATCATTCAATAACAATCGCTTTGACAGTTACTGGCCCGCACACCGTCCTGGCCGGCAAACAAAAGATTCAGTTGCCAGGGACAAATCGGTAAGCCCAAGTATTAATACCTAGCAGACACAGATCTCGGACGGCTTTCCGACATCTGCTTTCCGACGGCGTTCTCACTCATGCTGGCATTCCGCGGTTTCTGAAAACTGTCCGACGGCTTTCCGGCGGCTTCCCGACGTTTCTGACGGCTTTCCGACGCTCGGGCCCTCGCGGGCCCTCGGCTTGCCTAGTTTTGAGGGCCCAAGCGTTAGCTTCCCGACGTGTTTCCGACGCCAGAACTTGACGCGCGCCGTTCTAATCGGCACTCAACTGGCCCATAAATACACACTGTGACTTTGCGCCATTGCAAGCCAATAGCAGCGATAGCGCGTAACCAAAGGAATTTTGCACGGCTCATGGGCCTGTCAGACACACACAAACAAGCAAAGTCAGGAAACTTTTGGCAAACACGGGATAACACGGGACTCCTGCCAAGAAGCTGTGAAATACCAAACAAGTGAAGACACAACACCAGCCCACAAGTACATCCGAAACAACAGGTGACCGCCCAGCCTTCACCCATAGCACCTGGCCTTTTTTAGAATTATCTGAAAAACGGATTTTTGTTCTGCGCAGGGGTGTCGTTGCGGCCAGTGGCCAGTTGGGTTTCAGACCTTGTCGCGTGCGCTCAAAATGGGTCTGGGCCCCCGGGGCGTCGAACTGTGAACTGCCAGAGCCCCGGAACGTCGTCAGCAGGGTATTTAGGCCGGACCCTTTCAATGCACATCCCGACCCTTCCAAATGCACATACCAAAGAGCCTTAGGGCACTCAGAGTTATTGACTTTCAGCAGGGGATCAGAAACCGGACAGTCCAGCAAAATGTTGGGATCCTTGACCCCTTTTTTCCATGTCAAGAGTGATCAATCCGTGGATTGGGTGCTGCGTCTCGGACTTGGGAACGACTCCTTGGAAGGATCAACTCCATGGGCTACTCCAGGGCTTCCAGCTTTGGTGCCTTCTGTTCCCAATTCATGTAGGTAAGAGTCATATGATGTGCCCGATTTGGAGGAAAGAAGCTTGTGGGCAAATATTGGGACATGGGGTTTGAAGAGCTACATGTCATGACACGGGAAGCGGGATGTGACTAGCACAAAGCCACCCATTCCAGGTTTCGAGTGTTGGATCGGTTTCACAGATGTCGAAAAGTAGAATGCCGGTTGGGGTGATATACAGTCACAGGCCTGGGATTCCTCCTTGGTATCACAAGGGGCCTTTTTTCAGACTCATGACCTCAGTTGAATGTTTTTTTCTGCATTTTAGGATTTACGCAATAATAGGGACCAGACACACACAAACCTTTCTACATATTTTGGTTAGGGAGGTTGTTCACATGTTGAACGCCATGGGACACCCCGGTGGCGTTTCAGCCCCGAACTCGAGCGATCGGCTTCCAGGGATACCTGGATGAGATGAAGTCGATGACTGAGTCCATTAAGGGCTTCCTTAAGAAGGCCGACAAGGCAGGGATCGATTCGCTTGGGCTAAAATCCCGGATGGTTTTTCGGTTTGGGCCTGTTATTTGCTTGGGTTGGGTTTAAAGGGAAAGTCATGGAAACCCACAAAGTGTGTTTCTTTTGATGAAACCACCGTCGGAAAAGGGCAGTGTACATTTTGACAAATCAGCTGCCAACAAGAAATGCCACATGCAGCCTCAGCGTGGGCTGGGCGCGTTGCATTGGTTTTTCGTCGGCTTCAGGCGTAGTGATTTGCCAGCGCCGACGCTTTTTCCGCGCCAGGATGCTTCAGGCACTTTGACCTACGAAGAGTTTCAGGCAGGAGACAAGAATGGCTCTTACTGGTTGAGCTGGCAGACTTTGAATTTTTTGTTGCCAGGTTCTTCATAAGTTTGGTCAAGGACCAAACATAGTGGTTGTTGGGAAACATTTTACATGTTTGGTTATTGTGGTTTAGTGGGAAACCCCCACTTAAGTGCTAAAAAAAATGTGTTTTGCTCCCCTTCCAACGTTAACCAAGGAAACAGGTTAAACTATATTTGGCCAACCAACTCAGCTGGTCGTTGAATGTTGTGCATGTAACTTCCCGTCATTCGCTGGTGGTAGGGGTCTGTGCTTGCTGGCTGAGATGCAAGGGGTTGACCTCAGAAAAATGTCGGTCATATCCAGGCTAAGTGTTTTAAGCCACCTTAGCACGTCGCGTTTTATCAGCTGGATTTTTGCAGTGCCATCCTTCTTTAGTGCATTTTATCAACCAACATATTGGGGCTCCCGTGCATTCTCGCCGGATTAAGTGCTGAGCCCACCTATGCTGATGTACTCTCCAAAGATATACTGGTCTTTTTCGGCACAGATTTGGCCAAGTTAGCGTTTTTCCAACTGCAATATATAAAGCAACTTCCCGGTCGTTTTCTATGTATCGCTACTGAATGGCTCAGATGCTGACCTATCAGTCGGCAAAACAAACCCCAATGAAAACAGGCTACGTGTGCAACCTCAGGCTATGTCAACATTATTCCTTGGTTAGACTGCCAGCATCCGACCACATCGTAAGGCGCAGGCATGGGTTGTTTGGTTTGACTTGGGGCGTGTGTGGTTTAAATGCCAGAACACGAAGGGTTTCTCCTAAAGCACGGTGGCCCTTTTTCCACCTGATTGGAGACATGTTTGGTTGCCCAAAGCAGATATGGATTCCGAAGGTGTGGCAAACTTGTCAAACAAATAGAACACGGTGGGTGCTTCGCTTGCATCTTACTCTCTGAGTTCTGGAACTTTGAACTTTTTGGGTCTGGACCATTTTAGTTGCAACCAACAAGTTCGGAACTTTTTTAGGGACCAATCCGTGCAGGAAGTGAGGTATTCACAGGACCACCTCTGTTTCCAACATGGAGCCCACCGGATCAGTGGATGTCCCTGAAGATCCAGAATTGTCATCACTAGAAGGGTGATATTTTGTGGGCAGAGTGCAGTTGTTATTAAATGGTTGTATGGCCATAAGTCAAAAATAGGTACCCCAAAATGGGTTGCCCGGGTAAATGGAAAGGACGAAGACCATGTGGTCTGGTGGGTTAATTTTGACCCATACCCATATGGTCGTGGGTCAACACCAATGGGATCCCATTTTGGCGTAGGTGAATTCACCAGCCATTTTAGGACCTATTTTAGTGGTTGGATTGGTTGATCAATTCACTGGGGCTACGATTTGGGTTTTGACCCAGAGCCATATCCATGGTCAAAATTAAACCATCCGGGGACCACAGGTATACTCCATGTTTCCATTTACCAGGGTTCCATTTTGGGTTCCACTTTTTTCTTGGGGGGGGGGAGATTTGGGTAGTTGATGCCCAGGACCCCGTGGCCTCCCGGTCCTTTGGTTCAAACAAGGGCAAATCCGCCCGACGAGTGCAGGCGCACATGTCGAATCCTGTCGTGTGGGCCTCGGCGCGAAGTCGATGGATCGGGCTCCATTTTGACGTCGACGTGCGAATTTTGCCAAGGGATGTTAGGACTTTGACTTTTTGCCGGGGTTTTCCGTATTAAACCACTAAAAGTTAATTTTGCAGCAGGGGAGCAGAAAGCAACCGAGTTGATGTGCCGGTGGCGGCACTGCGTTTTAGAAAGCAAACGAAGAGATCAGCAGTGAATCAGAAGAGGTTGTGTTTATCTCGGTCCCGGGCAATCCACATGTTTTTCTAGGGGTAAGTAGGCAGATTGTACTCGACCAAGAATTGACAACCTACCTTGGCATCCTACACACAAAGCGGTGGCACCAGAGAAGGCAGGAAGAGATTCTCCAGGCAACTCGAACAGGTCAGTGAGGCCGGAAGGAAAGGCAGGCAAGCTGAAGGTGGTGTACGAGGCAAAGATATTTTTCATGGTTTCCATGTCCAGCTGTCGTAGAGACGGCTAGCTCCCAATGCACCTCGCGAATGCCAGCCGTTTGTCGACGCTCTGCACGCAAAAACATGACTATGCAGAGCGTTGAAGCCTGGCCCCTTGTTGGACCCGCATGGGCTGAAGGCTGCTTTCAAAACAGTGGTGTCGGGTCTTTTTTGGGCAGCCTGGGATTTTTACCGCACCATTGCGGTCTCTGTGGCGCAAATTGAAGGCGGAAGTTGTGGCCCGGAGTCGGCCCAATGGTTGGTTTCATGTCAAACAAAACCAAAGCTGTCGACTGGATGGGTTGCATGTTGCAAGTCAGCTGCAAGTTGCAAGTCAGCTGATGGGCAGGCGTCGTTTTCCAACACTTCACATGTCCGAGAGAGCCGAAGCAGACCTTTCGAGGTTCCAAGGCAAATTTAGGACGCGCAGGAAGCAAGAACAAGAAGGAAAGGAACAAATGAATCAACATGTCTATGCACCGCATCGCAAGCAAAGCGCGAAAGGGTCACTGACTTATGGTTCTTGCATGAAGCGTGGAAAGGTTTACAGTCTGGTTTCGCACATGGTTTGACAACTAATCCGGGCCCAGCCACCACCAAACGACAGAAGACAAACACCAGTTCCGTATTGAACACGTCTTTCGGAACTCTGGACACGCGTCCTCTGGATTTTGTGGGTTCCCCCAGATAAGCGTGCCTTCTCAAGGGCTGGCATGTTTGTTTGTCAGCCTTGGCTCTGGCTAGATACTTTTAGGCATCACCAGTTCAGAGACATCACCAGCATCAAAGGCATCACCAGCATCAGCAGCAGCACAGGCATCACCGGCAGCCATGAATGCGGATTTGCACGTCACACATCGCCAAGCAAAACAGACTCATATTTTTTTCCGGGCCTTCTCCGGATTTTGCGGGCCTTCTCCGGTTTTGCGGGCCTTCTCCGGGTTTGCGGGCTTCCCCGACCTCTTCGTGCTCGCTCATTTTTATTGTTATTTTTCTAAAAACATAAAAAGCTGAGAAGGCACTGTCCACTTGGAAAAAGCCTATAGCCAAAAATGAGGTACCTTACAGTAAAAATGCACATCGGCTTTTCCCCGGGGTATCATGCCTTCTCAGTTGTTTTTTTTCTTTCGGGCGGTTCCCCCCCCCCCCAGATCACGTCGGCCTGATCGGATCCCGTATTTGATTTCGGGGGATCCCAGTTGGTTTTTGACCACAGGGAAAACACCAGGGTTCCATTTCCAGTCCCAGAGGCCCAGATTGCTTGTGAAACGGCGCCAAAAGAGAAAGAGTACTCAGTGCACTTCGTGTGAGGGGGGGGACAGCTGGGAAAGCAATCATCAAGCACATTCATGTCTGGATATAGCGCCCTTTAAAACGGTTCCAAGCATTGAGAAGGCATGGTCCCCTGGAGAAGCCTCGGGGATGGGGTCCAGACCCTCGAATCTTGGTTAACTTTTGAACAGGAAATCTAGTGACCCGCTTTCCTGTGCATCCCTTCCTGCCTTCCTTTCTTCCTTCCTTCCTTCCTTCCTTCCTGCCTTCCTTCCTGCCTGCCTGCCTGCCTGACTTCCTTCCTTCCTTCCTTCCTTCCTGCCTTCCTTCCTTCCTTCCTTCCTGCCTTCCTTCCTTCCTTCCTGCCTGCCTGCCTGCCTTCCTTCCTTCCTTCCTTCCTTCCTTCCTGCCTTCCTTCCCTGCTTCCTGCCTTCCTTCCTTCCTTCCTTCCTTCCTTCCTTCCTTCCTTCCTTCCTGCCTGCCTTCCTTCCTGCCTGCCTTCCTTCCTTCCTTCCTTCCTTCCTTCCTGCCTTCCTTCCTTCCTTCCTGCCTGCCTTCCTTCCTTCCTGCCTTCCTTCCTTCCTTCCTTCCTTCCTTCCTGCCTGCCTGCCTGCCTGCCTTCCTTCCTTCCTTCCTTCCTGCCTTCTTTCCTTCCTTCCTTCCTTCCTTCCTTCCTGCCTTCCTTCCTTCCTGCCTGCCTTCCTTCCTTCCTTCCTTCCTTCCTTCCTGCCTGCCTGCCTGCCTTCCTTCCTGCCTGCCTGCCTTCCTTCCTTCCTTCCTTCCTTCCTGCCTGCCTGCCTGCCTGCCTGCCTTCCTTCCTTCCTTCCTTCCTTCCTCCCTGCCTTCCTTCCTTCCTTCCTGCCTGCCTGGCTGCCTGCCTGCCTGCCTGCCTTCCTTCCTTCCTTCCTTCCTTCCTTCCTTCCTTCCTTCCTTCCTTCCTTCCTTCCTTCCTTCCTTGCTACCTTCCTTCCTTCCTTCCTTCCTTCCTTCCTTCCTTCCTTCCTTCCTTCCTTCCTTCCTTCCTTCCTTCCTTCCTTCCTTCCTTTGCTGCATTATTAACACCTCCTGATTTTATTAGTCATTTTTTTTAGGGATACCTTTAATTTTTTGTTATGAATTAAGTATTTTTATTTTATATATTTGTATATATTATAAAAGGTTTTTAGTATATTATAATATTCAAAAACTTATTTAATTTTTTTAATAAATTTAAAAGATTGTTTTTGTTTTTGCCTTCCTTCCTTCCTTCCTTCCTTCCTTCCTTCCTTCCTTCCTTCCTTCCTTCCTTCCTTCCTTCCTTCCTTCCTTCCTTCCTTCCTTCCTTCCTTCCTTCCTTCCTTCCTTCCTTCCTTCCTTTCCTTCTTTTCTGCCTTTCTTCCCTCGCCTGCTCAGGTCAAGGCGTATTTTTCCGGCTTGGACATCGACCCGGACGAGACCAAGATCATTTTCACGCTCTTGGACTCCGATTGCAATGGCGACATTGATATCGAGGACACCGACTCCAGCTTCCGAAAGGTTTCTATGGCTGGCTCCCAGCCATCCCGCTAGTTGTTTAGGGTATTTTTAGGGTGTTTAATGTTTTTTTTCGGGCTTTTTAGGGTTTTTTGAAAGGGTTTAGTGGTGGGGTTCCATTTAAGCCACTAAAAGTTATTTACTTTTAGCACGGGATCAGTTCAGCCCAGGTTCGTGAGGGTAGCTAAAAGACAGTCCCAAACCATCATGACACGTGGGTGAAAATTAAGCCACCAGGAAACCACAGGTTTTGGTCCATGTTGCCACTTACAAGGATTAATATTTTCTATTTTCCCTTGTTGGTCTTGAAAGGAATTCATCACTACTGGAGATATTTCTCATTTTTGTCCTGGGGCCGTCAAACCAAATGGAAGATGACACGCCGAAACCACGAGGCAACCGAAACCGCTGGACTCAAGTGACTCAAGACGCGGCAAATTGGCGCGCCAGGAGTTTGTGCACGGCACCATGAAGCTGAAGGGCTATGCTCCTCAGACCAAAGCTTTGGGGTTTCAAGCCAGTTGAGCCACGTGCAATCGAAACCGATTCGGGTAGATGATCCGGTTAGTAAAGGACCCCAACCATAAATAGCTGCGAAGATCCGGCTTCTTAATCCTGTACATGGTTCTGGGTAGACCATTTTAGTACCAAGTTTTGATTTCGACTCAGTTGGCTGTGGTTGCCAAAACCGTTTTGGGATCCCATTTTGGGGTAGGTGAATTCACCACCCATCTTAGAACCTATTTTAGTGGGGACTGGTTGATGTTCACTGGGGGTACGATTTGGATTTTGACCCATGGCCGCTTGGGCGTGTTTTTGTAGGCTTGGTGTCGTCTTAAGGAGTTTCAAAGGGAAACCAAACAAGTAAGCCCATGGAATGTTAAATGCGGATGTGGGCACAAAGGGTTTCATTGAACATAAGTCCTGAATTTATATTGACTGAGTTATCCAATCTTAGAGGGGATCACTTGGTTGATATTTCTTTGGTGCGAGCTCTAATATCTCAAGCAAAAGCAGTTGGAAAGGGACTGTTCCCCTACTAACTCGCCAAAACAACTACCCCTCCCGTGCACAAACAGGGCCACCAAAGGGTCCTTGAGATCAAACGGCGGGGTTTGTGGACGTGAGAGTAACTTTTGGCAGGTGAGGGAAATGGGTAGGCTTTTTTGTAGGGGACCCCCAACATGGATTTCTGTATTCCTTTTGGTTTCCCGAACCGAGCAACGAAAAAGGGGTAGCAACTCAAAATAAGACACCCCAAAATGCAGGGAAAAGATGGACCCGGGGTAGCTCCGCCGCTGCTCCAGTCCGGCAAGAGAGCTGAAGGATGGAACAGACCATCCCTGATACCTCAAACTATGAGCTTACCTGAAAGGTTGGGAGAGGGTCGGTGTATTTTGTTGGCAAACGGACACCCAGGATGAGGCTGCCTGTCTTGAGGAGTGCTTGTCTGCAGTATTGGCACAACAAGTAAATGAGCAGGAAACACATGTTATTTTTTGGGGGGAGCCCTTTTTGGGAGTTGCTTTAAACGAAGCGAACAGCAATTTTGGAGTTCACTTTTTTGTTGGTCCCCTCTAGTGTGACACATACCCACATCTTGAGGTTTCCCCTACCAACCTATTAAACATGGCGATCAGGAAGCGACATGTCCTGTCCTGCAGATATGGCGACCCTGTTGGGAGACTCGAGATTTTCCATAGGGGCCCTTCCGTTGCGAACAGGGCTGCATGGACCCTGGTAATTCCGAATGTTTTTAGTTGTCCGGGGCTCCTTTACCACAGAAAAACTGGGTACCCTCAAAACGATGTAGGCATTATGTGGTCCGATATTTGTTGACCCCCGAGTAGTTAACCTGTTGGATGATCCGGGGCAGTTCGCCCCAAACAAAACATCCTTCAAAGAAGACACTCAACAGACTACACACACAAAACACACAAACGATGGGACAAAGCACAAAAAAAACAGAGAACAAACAAACACACAAACAAACAAACCACCAAACAAACAAACAAACAAGCAAGCAAGCAAGCAAGCAAGCAAGCAAGCAAGCAAGCAAGCAAGCAAGCAAGCAAGCAAGCAAGCAAGCAAGCAAGCAAGCAAGCAAGCAAGCAAGCAAGCAAGCAAGCAAGCAAGCAAGCAAGCAAGCAAGCAAGCAAGCAAGCAAGCAAGCAAGCAAGCAAGCAAGCAAGCAAGCAAGCAAGCAAGCAAGCAAGCAAGCAAGCAAGCAAGCAAGCAAGCAAGCAAGCAAGCAAGCAAGCAAGCAAGCAAGAGAGCAAGCAAGCAAGCAAGCAAGCAAGCAAGCAAGCAAGCAAGCAAGCAAGCAAGCAAGCAAGCAAGCAAGCAAGCAAGCAAGCAAGCAAGCAAGCAAGCAAGCAAGCAAGCAAGCAAGCAAGCAAGCAAGCAAGCAAGCAAGCAAGCAAGCAAGCAAGCAAGCAAGCAAGCAAGCAAGCAAGCAAGCAAGCAAGCAAGCAAGCAAGCAAGCAAGCAAGCAAGCAAGCAAGCAAGCAAGCAAGCAAGCAAGCAAGCAAGCAAGCAAGCAAGCAAGCAAGCAAGCAAGCAAGCAAGCAAGCAAGCAAGCAAGCAAGCAAGCAAGCAAGCAAGCAAGCAAGCAAGCAAGCAAGCAAGCAAGCAAGCAAGCAAGCAAGCAAAGAAACAACACAATCAAACAAAACCAAACAAAACCAAACCAAACAATCAATCAAACAAACAAAACACAAGCAAAACCAAGCAAAACAAAACAAAACAAACAAACAAACAAACAAACAAAACAACAAACAAACAGACAAACAAACAAGCAAACAAACAAGCAATAAAGCAATCAATGAAACAAACAAACAAACAAATAAATAAGCAAACAACTAAACAAACAGGCAAACAAAGAAACAAACAATCAATCAATCACACAAACAAACAAACAAACAAACAAACAAACAAACAAACAAGCAAGCAAGCAAGCAAGCAAGCAAGCAAAGAAACAACGCAATCAAACAAAACAAAACCAAACCAAACCAAACAAACAAGCAAGCAAGCCAGCAAGCCAGCAAGCAAGCAAGCAAGCAAATGAACAACACAATCAAACAAACCAAACAACACCAATCCAAACAAACAAACAAACAAACAAACAAACACAAGCAAAACCAAGCAAAACCAAGCAAAACAAAGCAAAACAAAACAAACAAACAAACAAACAATCAAACAAACAAACAAACAAGCAAACAAGCACACACACACACTCAGAAGCAAGCAAGCAAGGAATAAGCAAGCAGGCAGCTCCTGCGCTTTCATTTGTTTTTACTTTAGGCCACGAAGCTGGACGTCATGGCGCTGATGTACGACGCCACGCGGCAGTCCATCAAGTTCGAGGCCCTCTGCGAATTCCTGGAGAGCCCCTCGCTCGGATTCGCTGGAGTTCGGTGAAGCTCGCGGGCGGGGCGGAGGGAGTTCGGACAACCGCGGTCACGCGGCGCGGCGGTTTGGGAAGGGTTTTGGGATTTCTTCACGGAGGCAAAGAAGGTGTTTTTTTGTTTTAAATAAAGGCGCCAGAAACTGGCAACAAACCGCTCAGGCGTTTGGTTTGGTGAAGCTTGCGGGTTTGCAAGGTGGGAAAGTGGGTTTGCTGGGCGAAACCACAAGGTGTGGTGTATAGGAAGAGCGAATCTAAGAAACAACAATCCGACGAAAAACAAGACCTCACCAAAGCTCCAATTTTCTTCCCTCACCCTTTTTCACGTGGGGCTCCGAGAATCTAACCAAACAAACGCCGGGGCTGGACAAAGTTGAAACATCAACCAGCGATTCTTTAAAGCGATGTTTGGAAGGATTTTGCACATGAAACCCTTTGAGACCTGAAAGCATGAAGGATTGCCTGTGAAAGAAAAGCAACCACCTGGTCGTGTCCAGCCGAAAAAAATGTCCAATAGTTTGTGGTGACTGTCAGTATGAGCAAGCAGTTGGACAAAAAGCTGTTGCTGGATGAGGACAAACGGGTTGGAAGCTGTTGAAACGCCCAGACACTTCTATCATTTCCGTTTTTTTTTTTTTTTGCGGGGGACACTGACAACTCAACGCAGTTATCCCCCTATCATGTACGACACTGAGAAAAAGGGAATGTACAACGGCTTCCCTACATGAGTCACATGAGGTATGGGCACATCCCCAGGAGACCCATGCTACGGCATTTCGAATGGACCTCAGAAAACGTCTAGATTCCTCGTTTTTGCGGGGGTTGGGCTCAAATTTCCATGTTTTCCCGATGCCTTTCTCTCAAATGGTGCATCCTGAGTGGTTGTCCATCGCTTCGCCTTGAACACCTGGTTTCTCAGTTTTCAAAAGGAACCGCAGCCAGGTTTCCCCGTTTCTTCCCGGCCCCGAAATTTCGGGAAACCCATGCGGTCGTTTGGGTGACTCCTCAAGAACCGGCAAGTGTCCCTTTAGGTTTCCCAAAAAAACTCGCGGAATTCAGCACCTGGGTTCGAGATTCCTTGGCCAAGGGTGGCAGGTTTCCCATGTTGATGGGGGGAAAACATGTTGTGAGAGTTTCTGGGGGTCAGAAACTGGGGTGGTGTCTCTTGAACACTGAAGGGGGGTGCCTTTGGTGAAATCCTGGGTTTTGCCAGCAACCCGGCTTCCGGGCCGTCAGATCCACAGGCTCCCCCCGAGAGGCATATATATAGAGGGACAGAGGGGATCTTTTATGGCACCCCCAAAATGGCCAACTGGTTTCCTTTTGGTTTGCAAGTGATAAATGTACGGAAGGTTTCAGGGTGCGTTTGGTTTCCAAACCAACCCCCAAACTGGGTACCAACTCCAAAAAAAAAGCGTTTCTTTTAGTGGTGGTCACTGAACCCAAGGATGTTTGTCTCAGTGCTTCCAGTTACCACTAGTAGGTATCTGGGGACCATGACGTAGAACCTCGAGGTATACCATGGTGATTGTTGGGAAGCATTTCACATTTTTGCTTATTGTGGTTTAGTGGGACACCCCCACTTAGCTGCCAAAATTCAAGTTGTTGCTCACCTTCCAACGTCTACTCCAGTGGCAAAACGCCTGGAAGCACCGGGAGTCATTTCAGGTGCTGTCCTAGGTCCCCCAGTAGTCCCCTTTGACCGATTCTTTTTTGGGGGAGGGTTCCCCCACTAAAATTGACGCTTCAGAAAAAAGTTGGTACCCTTATTCTTGGTGGCTCCCAGCCATCCCCTTAGCTTTTTAGCCTCTTAGTAGTTTCCATTTAACCCACTAAAGGTTATTCACTTGCGGGGGATCAGAAATCGGGCAGCCCCGTATTCTAACCCATCTACTGGAGGACCTAGCCCTGCAAAAAACTCGCATGGAACCCAAAAGGGGTCCCAAAAAGGCGCTGCCAGCAAGGTATCTTGGGTTCCAGAAAAAAGGTGACCTGGTACCCTTTTAAGAACCTAGGTCCCCCAGTAGTCCCCTTTGACCTACATTTTTTTTGGGGGAGGGTTCCCCCTGAGGTCAGATCAACTGCATCTCCGATGCCGTGGCTGGGCGGCCGCGGCGCTCGTCGGTGTGAGATGATTCGGTTCGCTTGGGTCCATGGGAGCCTGTGCCGCCGGAAGGAACCCGAGGGTTCGTTCAAGCCCCATGAAAAGAATGGCCAGGACCCCATTTGGATGCAACTGCTTATAGGAACCCCCTTTGTTTTAATGGTAGCTTGAACCCCAGAAAGGAGGAGGCGCTCGTTTTGTTTTTGGGAGGGGGAGAGAAGGGCCTTGTTTTTCATTGGTGTGAGACGGATTTGGTGTTCTTGATGTTTGTTGTTTTTTGGTTGTTTCCTGTTGTGTGTTTCTGATCGATTGGGCAGCGGGGGTGCTAATTGGTTCGGGAGGCGAAAGACGCCGACTGTTGTGAGGTGCAATTGTGTTTCTTGTTGGCTCCCAGCCATCCCCGTAGCTTTTTAGGTTTTTTTGGTTTAGTGGGGGGCTCCATTTAACCCACGAAATGTTGAACTTTTAGCGGGGGATCTGAGGACAGCCTCGTTTTGATTGCTCTATGGTTTTTTGCGAAAGCCCTCGAACACTTTGGCGCGAAGTGATTGAAGAAGAGCCCGCCGTGCTTGCGCGTCCCGAGTTCGTGCGCCCATCGCGACAGCTCCGCGAAAGTGACCATTTAAAAAATGCCCGCGAAAGCGAAAGCATGGTGAAAGGTACTGCGGGCGAAAGGCGGGTTTTGATACACCAGGTGTTTGGCACCGCCCAATTGATTTTTACCTGTGATTGGTGTAAAGCGTCTGCTTTCGCATGCCGATCTAAAGTGATTTTCTGTTGGGCGATGGATGTTTTTGGTAACATATGTGCGCCTGGCCTTGTCGAGCTTGGGGGGGGCTTAGTCGGGGGTGAATTTGTCGGTGAAGTGAGCCTCGCCTTGTCGTTGCCAACTTGACGATAAGTCACCGCCCCCCCATAGTACTGTGAACAAACACTTAAAAAGGGTGCCAATGATTCTCCTTCCAGTTGTCTATAGTTTTGCTTTGAACGAATTCTGAAAGCACACACCCAACCTTTTCCGGCGCGCAACTGTTTTAGTCTCGCGCAAGTGCACTCTTCTATGGCAGCACTGTATGCTCATGGCTGTACTGCCGGCCAAAATGTCAGCGTTTCCGCTCCCGCGCAGGCCAACATGTTCGCGTTTCCGCTCCGCGGTGTGGTTTGTTTAGACAACACTTTGGAAACTTCTGTGCAGAGCACAGAGACGATCACGCAAGACGCTTGTTTTCACTGGCGTGCGGCGCTTGCACACCGGCGACCGCACCGTTCGCTCTTTCACCAGCATGTCACGCACAGCTCAGATGCTCAAGCAAGGCGCGTGTCGCCAGGTTTGCTAATTTCAGCGCCTAGCATAGAACGATACGGTGACTCTTTGTTTTCGGTGTCACGCAGTCCAGCGCTTCAAACATAATGGGGGGACTCACGAAATTTCCAAGATAAACCAGCAGACTCACGAGGTGTCCTATGTCCTCTTGGGGAAACAAACATGGCTCCAATGTGGTTCGGCAAGAAACGTTGGAAGCCCCTTTTCGCCAAAAAAAAGAAAGGGAAGGTGGGCGGATTTTTGCAGGGCTCCCATGTACACCCCAGCCGAACCTCTGCGCCTTCAAAGGCGCGGGCCAACACGGCTCAAGTTTCACGGCTCCCCGTTTTCGCGAGAGATGCCCTGCCGTTTGCGACCAAAGCGAACTCCGGATACTGTCGCTCTGTTTTTTTTTCAAGTTAACACCTTTTTTTTTGTGTGACATGGTGTATGTTGCCTCCACTCTTGGAACTGAGGAAATCCATCAATGTCTGAAAGTCCGTGCAAGGTGCTCCAATCAGGAGACTTCAGCCGTTTAGGGTTGCTCCGAATGGGTACCCCGCCCGATTTGAAAGGTCGAAAGGTCAAATTTTATGTGTTTTTTTTGTTTCTGATCGGACGCCCTTGGTCCCCCTGTTTCGTTTTACGGTGTCCCTTTTAGGTCGATTTCCAAACTCAGATGGCGGCGTATGTTCCGGCCTGGGTTGCAAGCGGGCCTCTAGAATCGCAGCAACGTGCTGCTCCGGACTCCGCTCTCGGCGGA